ATATATATATACATGTGTGTGTGTGTGTGTGTGTATATATATATATATATATACATGTGTGTGTGTCACGACACAACGTGGTGGAATCAGGCGCTCGTCAATTTTTGAGCATGTAGAGTTATTGGTATCATCTTAAAGCATTTTTATTTACCTTGCTTTCTATTTTAAAAAATATCCATCTATCGTAAATAGAAGTCAAGATATTTACAATTGAAGGTGAGGGTCGTCTGGTTTCAGAGGTGAAATTAGAGAGAAAATGGCCGCCAAAGTTTGGTGACTTCAATAGCTTGAGAGTCCTTGAAAACTGAACATTTCCATAGTTTGTGCCGTTGTTCAACGTTTTTCTCTTAAATTCACATGAAAATGTGTTTTTCTATGGACATGAAAGGTGTTGAGCCAAAAAATCAAAATTCAATCAAAATTTCCCAATGGGTGGAACAGTGCCAGTTTCTTCAATTTCTTGATTTTGACGAGCGCCTGATTTCACCACGCTGCCTCACAGTGTATGATAAATACCGGGTATCTGTTCTCTGTCGTTGTAACTATAGTTGGTCATGGAGGGCCTGGCAGATATACGTGTGTGTACATACGTACATATATATATATATATATATAACATATGAATATATAAATCTAGTTCTATAACTAGCAACCACCAGGTCTGTTTGCACTTGTCCAAGACAAGCACACATGAGTGAGGAGACAACTGGTCACGTTAGACAGTGTCCAGTCTATGTATATGTGTGTGTGGTCGTCTTAGACAGGTGCTCTGTGGTCATGTTAGACAGAGTCAGTATATGTATATATGTGTGTGTGTGTGGTCATGTTAGACAGAGTCAGTATATGTATATGTGTGTGTGGTCATCTTAGACAGGTGCTCTGTGGTCATGTTAGACAGATGGTCATCTTGGACCGTGTCAGTATATATATATATATATATATATGTATATGTGTTAGACAGATGGTCATCTTGGACCGTGTCAGTATATATATATATATATATGTATGTTAGACATCATGGAGAAATGAGGCCCCCGTCAAGACGAGAGGAAATCCGAGCAGGTTGGGGGGGGAGGGGTTGTTTTTTTGCTCGTTGGGCAATTTTTATCTAATTTATTTTTGTGTGGTTCAACCCCTTTGATATCCTTTAAAAAACATGTTTTTGGGTGGATTTTAGGGAAAAACAATGATAACAATAACAAGGAAAAATGAAAAGTAAATTTGCAGTTCTAAAGACATTGAAGCTTTGGAAGTGACCAAACTTTGATTGACAGACTACCCCATCTCCTCCAGTCAGAAATGTCTTTGATTTCTACATAGGTTTTGGGGGGTTTTTTCATCAAAAGCAAGACAAATGAACAAGCTTTGACAAATGAACCAGCTTTAATATAACAAAAAACAACATATGCCATGCCCCGTAAATTGACAAGTGCCTGATTCCAGCGTGTCATGACACACACAGAAGACCGTGTGATGGAAAGTGGTCGTTTGTACAAGTGGGTGTGTTGGGCGGGTGTGTCGGCTGGAGGTGTGTTGGGGCAGGTGGGACTACATCAGAAGAGAATGTTCTGGTATTGTAGCGGTGGAAGTTCTACTTTCCACCTGGTATTTATTGAGAGAATGTCCAAGAATGATTGCCAGAAGGGCGATAAAATGAATTTATTCAAACTTTTTTCAATACCATTTTCCAACTTGTTTTCCTATCACTTTCATGTAATCTGAGTTTTCTCCAAGAATCTTTCTGGACTAACTCCAGCTGTTTAATCTGATTGCTTTTTTTTTTTTTCTTAAGCAGACAAGTAACGTACATATATTGCAGACAAGTAACGTACATAAATAACTGTTTCCTTGTTCTTTCCTCTGTTGCATCGGTGAAAAGTGATACACTATGACCAATGATGATCAAAGTCAAGGTCAAGGTGTTTTGGGTTTGTTTTTTTCATGATCTATAAATGAATGATCTTTGAAGGAATGTTGTCCTCCATTGTTGTTGTTGAAACAGTGACTGTAGAGTTTGTGCTTGATGACTGATGACTGGTGGT